CTTGCTGAACAACTTCACAGCAAATGATCAGAACTGGCAAAGAGAAGGAGAACCAAGTAGAGTAATCTTGCCTAAGACAGGTGGTATGATTGAAATAGATGTCCTCACAGCTTTGAGAGCTGATATAAACAAGATAGCTAATTAAGTTGGCAAGCTCTCTCAAGCACAAGTGCAACATATGCAACAAATGATAGTTTATTGTGAGTTTTGTGGAGAGGATCACACGGGAAACCAATGTTCCACAAATTCTGAGTCCATCTACTATATGGGGCAGCAAAGCAGAGGTCCGATGAATCAGAACGCTCAGTATGAAAACACATACAAGCTGAATTGAAGGAACCATCCTAACTTCACATGAGGTGGAAATCATAGCAACAACAGGCCTCAATGCAACTACAATTAGCCATTGAAACCACCACAACAAGCAGAGGAGAGTGTGACCGATTTGTTGAAAAATCTATTTCTTGATAACCAGAGGATAATGTCCGATAATCAACAGATACATATAGATTTCAGAACTTTAAAGAGGCAAGTCTGGTAGATGGCGAATGATCAAAATACTAAACATGTGGGAGCTCTTCCATGTGATACAGAAAAAATCCTTTGGTCAATGCAGTTACTTTGAGAAATGGGAGAGAATTGTTAGGATTGCCTAGGAAGAAAAAGGAGCCATCTGGGCTCGAAGAGGAAAGAGTGACAAAACCCCTGAAGGTGACCGAGAGAAACACACTAGAACCTGAGCAAGTAGAAGAAAGTGTACCGCTCTCTTTTCCTCAAAGGCTGAAAAAGAAGAATGATGATCGCATGTTTCATAGGTTCCTAAATATGCTGAAGAAATTATATTTGAACATCCCTTGGGTGGAGATGCTCTGTGATGTCCCAAAATATTCTAAATACATCAAAGAATTGTTGCAAACAAAAGAAGGTTAACTGAGTTTGAGATAGTCGCACTCATCGGGGAGTGCACTTCTAGGATCCAACACAAGCTTCTACAAAAGATTAAGGATCTGGGAAGCTTCACAATCCATGTGAGGATTGGAGAGTTTGATGTGGGTAGAGCTCTATGTAATTTGCATTCAAGTATCAATCTGATGTCGTTATTAGTGTTCAAGCAATTAGTCTTATGAGCTCCATGACCTACCATGGTAATACTACAGTTGGATGATAGAACTTATGCATACCTTGAGGGGGTAATTGAGGATGTGTTGCTACAGATTGGAAAGTTTATCTTCCCACTAGAAGTTATCATCTTGGACTATGAGGTTTAGGAGCAAGTTCCTTCATCTTGGGATGACCTCTTTAGCCATGGGAGATGCAATTATCAAAGTTCGAGAAGGTAAGATGATCACGAGGGTAGACAATGAAGAGGCAGTCTTCAATGTGTACCGAACCATTCAGTTGCCTCGTCATTACGTGGATGTTGCTATGATTTATGTAGTGGAAGTGGATGAACCAATCCTGGGGCCAAGTTTATTTAAAGATGATGCATTAGAAAAAACACTGATGTTTTTCAATCAAATAGAACTTGAAGAAGAGGTTGAGGAGATGATGTATGTTCTAGATGCATCATGTGAATACATTAAAAAATAACCCCAGCTTGAGCCTCTGGATAGGCCGAGTGGTCCCTTACCTAAGCCTTAATGGAGGAAGCTCTGAAATTGTAACTTAAACCCTTACCCTCTCATCTTCTTTATGTATATTTGGAAAGCTCTAAAACTTTACATGTGATTGTTTCTTCTCAATTGTCTAACTTGCAGGAAGAGAAGTTGTTGAGGATGCTGAGAGAGCGGAAGCATGCCACTAGATGAATGATGTCTTACATAAAGGGTATTAGCCCTCATTTGGCATACACAAAATACTCATAGAGGAAGGACACAAGCCTATTGTGGAACATCAACTCCGTCTAAATTCAATCACTAAAGAGGTGGTAAGAAAAAAAGTGATTAAGTGGCTCAATGCAGGTGTTGTATTTCCTATCTTTGATAGTAAGTGGGTGAGCCCTATCCAATATGTACCTAAAAAGGGAGGTGTGACTGTTGTAGTGAATGAACAAAATGGATTAATCTCAACTAGGACAGTAACTGGTTGACGAATATGCATAGACTGTAAGAAGTTGAATAATGTTACACATAAAGATCCTTTCCCCATCCCCTTTATTGATCAAATGCATGATCGGTTAACCGGACAAGAATACTACTTTTCCTTAATGGCTACTCGAGGTATAATCAAATTGCTATTGCCCCAGAGGATTAAGAAAAGACCACTTTACATGCCTTTATGGTACTTATACATTTAAGAGAGTGACATTTGGGTTATGTAAAATTTTTAAAGGTGTATGATAGAAATTTTAACTGATATGCTGGAATAATTTGTTGAGGTCTTTATGGATGATTTTTCTGTGTTTGGTCCCTCTTTTGATGAATGCTTAACCAATATTGGTGAAGTGCTTTCTAGGTGTGAGGAGAGGATTCTTGTGATGAACTGAAAGAAGTGCCATTTTAGGGTGCGTCAAGGCATAGTGTTGGGACAAAAGATGTCCAAAGACGGGCTAAAAGTTGACAAGGCTAAGGTGGAAGCAATTGAAAAGTTACCACCACAAATTTCTTTGAAAGGAGTCCGATGTTTTCTGGGACATCCGAGTTTCTATCATCGATTCATTAAGGATTTCTCAAAATTTTCCTCTCTTTTATATAGGTTTCTAGAAAAGGATGTACAATTCAAGTTTGACGATGCTTGTTTGAATGCATTTGGGGAGTTGAAGCAAAAGTTAGTGAGTGCACCAATTATAGTGGCTCCGTACTGGAATAAGCCATTCGAGCTGATATGTGATGTCAGCGATGGTACAATTAGGGTTGTTTTGGGCCAAAGGATGAACAAAGTATTTCACTCCATTTACTATGCAAGCAAGACTTTTACTCCTGCTCAAATAAATTATATTGTGACAAAAAATGAGCTGCTTGTTGTAGTTTGGGTGTTTGATAAATTTCAGACTTACTTAGTTCACATCAAAGTCATTGTCTACAAAGACAATCAGCCATCAGGTATTTGTTTGGGAATAAAAAGATGCTAAACCAAGGCTAACCATTGGATTTTACTCTTGCATGAGTTTGACTTAAAAATTTGAGACTATAAGGGACAGAGAATCATGTGGTCGATCACTTGTCCAGGTTGAAAACTCGGAATCATGTGGCTGAGGGAGGTGTGATAAAGGAGACTTTGCTTGATGAGCAGTTGTTGGCTATTACTAGTGGGGAGATGCCATGTTATGCAGATTATGTTAATTACTTGGCGAATTGAGAGCTGCCACCAGACCTTGAACCTCATGCCAAAAAAAATTCTTTACGGGATGTAAGATCCTATGTGTGGGATGAGCCGTTATTGTTAAAATATTTCATTAATCAGTTGATGAGGAGATGCATGCTAGAATCTGAGATGAATGATATTTTACATGACTGACATACGTCACCCTATGGTGGCCATCATGCGGTGACAAAAATGCTGCGAAGGTATTGCAGTCGAGCTTCTATTGACTTAGGTTGTTCAAGGATGCCCATGAGTTCGTGAGGAAATATGATAGGTGTCAAAGAACTGGAACGATTACAAAAAGACATGAGATGCCACTGCATGGCATTTTGGAGGTTGAAATTTTCGATGTGTGTGGAATAGACATCATGGGTTTTGTTTTCCTCTTCAAATGGAAAAAAAGTGCATTTTGGGGGCCGTTGACTATGGATCGAAGTGCATGGATGCCACTGCTCTTCCTACAAATGGTGCCAAGGTTTTGGTGAATTTTGTGAAAAAGCACATTTATGTAAGGTTTGGCATCCTGCGAGTGTTGATAAGTGATGGAGGCACACATTTTTGTAATCGGTTTCTAGATAATCTCTTAGCAAAATATAGGGTAAAATACAAGGTTGTGACCACCTATCATTCTCAAACTAGTGGTCAAGTTGAGGTGTCAAATAAGGAGATACACAGATTCATGAGAAGACAATTAGTGTGTGTAGAAAAGATTGTACTGCAAAGCTTTTTGATGCCCTATGGGCGTATCATACTGCTTACAAAACTCCAATTGGGGATTTTCCTTACAAGCTGGTTTATAATAAGGCATGCCACTTGCCGGTAGAACTCAAGCATAAGGCCTATTGGGCAATCAAGAAGTTGAATTTTGATGCAGAGTTGGCGGGTGAAAGATGCATGTTGCAATTAAACAAGCTTGATGAGTTTCGGTTGCACGCTTATAAGAATGCTAAGTTGTAAAAAGAGAAGACCAGGCGATGGCATGATAAGCATATTCCAAATGAGTTTGAGATGGGTCAATTGGCTCTCTTTTCTAACTTGAGGTTAAGACTCTTTTAGGAAAAGCTTAAATTGAGGTGGTGCGGTCTGTTTGAGGTAGTGAGAGTTACGCCATATGGTGCAATTGAGTTACGAGTCCTACATGGCTAAAGAACGTTCTTCAAGAACGGACAAGAGTAAAACATTATTATGGAGGTGACTTCTATTGTCCAAAGTTGAAGGTTATACTCGCCAATGACTAGGCGAGAGACCGCATCATGCCGCGACATTAAATCATGCGTTTGTCGGAAAAAAATCTAATTTTTATTGCTTTTTGTAGATTATTAGTTTTTTTAGTTAGAGTAGTGTTGTTGACAGTTTTGTCGTTGTTTGTTTTTGTATAATTGCACCTAGGAGGTGGCATAGGCATTTCAACGAGTGTATAAAGTCTCGGGAACAATGCCATCACGTTAAATATAAAAAAGGCAGTAGAAGTTAGTGCCCAGTTGGGCGCGAGGCGTAGCAAAATTCCAAGAGTAGCGGAGAAAAGAATGCAAGGTGCCTCTCTGGAACTGAAGGTCATCTGGCTCAAGTAAGTCATTTTAACTCACTATCGATCCGACCCACCCATCTACCCGTTTAGCCCTATCCCCCAACCCAATCTTCCAAATTATAACAAACCTCCCCCNCAAAACTATCCAAAATTAAAACACCTAGAATCCCTTCCCCTCATCGGTCACTCCCTATTATTCTCCCTCTCGCCCAACTCTCTCTCTCTCTTGCCATCACACAGGTAAGTTTCTGCTTTTCTCTTTCTCTTTTTTTCTTTTCTCTAATTAGCTCCCCTTCCCCTTTCCCTTCTACTCTCCCATAACACCCAAACTCTACCCAATTCTCTTCCCCCATTTTCTTGTAGAGTAAATGTTGGAGGTTAGTTTATGTGCAAAAGATTTGCGACAATTGGGGTGAAATTCTTTTATGATAAGTGAATACGAGGTGGAAAATTATAATTCCATCCACCTCGTCAATTTTGGAGGGTGAAATTCTTTCCCCATTGTTTGATTCTAACTAGACGAGAATATTGATACACGATGATTAGAGATAAATATGGGGTGCAAGGAAGTGATTATGGGCAATGCACCATGGTTGTGTTGCCCAAATCCTACAAGTGTCATGCTTTAAGCGATGTCGCACGGCTATTATGGGCCTGTCGTGTGCAAAGACTATTTGCAATTGTATTGTATAGTTTCTTTTGTGTTCTTTTTGCCTTTTAGACAAATCTTAGTGTATATTGGTAGTTTAGTAGTGGGCAGAGGGTCAAGCATGTTATGATCAAATATTTATGGTTCGTGTGATGATCAAGTACATCGTTTAGCATGTTACAATGTTGTCTGCTACATACATATCTTGTTGGTTGATAAGTGGAAGTCTTGAGTACCCTACGCACTTGGAATTGAATTTGTTATGAATAAAAATGTGTGCTAGTCCATTCTTGCTTAAACTACTCATCTGCCTCAGTCTTAAGTGTGAGTTTGTGCAGACCCTAATTTCTTGAATTTCTGTGTTCTTTTAAGCGTTCTAAGATGAGGCATGTACTTGTTTGCAGGATTAGGTGCAAATGGCTTGCAAACAGCAAAGCAAACCAAAGGCAACTACAAAGCCTTCCACTACAGCTCCGCCCATAAGGAAATGTAAGCAAAGTGAAGTTGCGTCAAGCAAAATAGGAAAAGGCAAGCAAGTGGCTGAGACTTCTAACAGGCAACCTCGGGTGCTTCGTCCAGCGCTTCAATCTGAAAGTGATGATGCTAAGAAATGGTACCACTCCTTTGTGCCATATGAGCGGCATATTTACGAGGTGGGTATCAATGTCCTAGCCTTAGAGAAGATTTTCCTCGTTATTTTCGTATCAAATAAAGGAGTTAAAGCTGGATCATTTTCTAGGGTCTCCCAGGCCTGCGAATCTGAGCATAGTGAAGGAATTATATGCCAACTGGACGCACATGGGTGAATTTGCAAGAAGAAGCCTTATGCAACTATTTGGGGGTCATAAACCACAACCCAAAATATTTTACAGGTTCGTTCCCAATCTCGATTACAAAGCCATCCATCATACATTGTGGGGTGGACTCGGCAGCAAAGTGGACTCGTTCACTTTGCAAAGACAACTACTTGGAGATGTACAAGACTGAATTTAAAAGAACAGCTAAGGTTTGGCAGAATTTTGTTCAGGCTCGCATTTTGCCTAGTGAGCACACTTCGCACGAGAGCAAGGTTTGTTTGATTTATTTCCTGTTGAGGGGGGACCTGTCAACATTATTCAGTTGATACTCGATGCGATAAACCACATAATATTCCAGAGAGATTCGGGGAGGTTCTTCTATGGAACCTGTTGACAAAGTATATGCTATGGAGGGAGGTTCCTATTTATGATGGGGTTGATGAGGTTGTGCCTGCACCGAAAGAGTTGCTAGATATTTCGGCATTGTAGCCGTAGCATGGTCCAAAGTTGAGCAATCCCGGGATAACAATTTGAATCGCCATCGGTATTGTATAATGAGCTTGATTTTGGAAAAGGTGGGAGTTACAGAGGAAGAAAAATTGAAACTACACCGGGGTATTGCCACCTGGTAGTCCGCTATATTCTTCTGAGGACCGGAACACTGATCCACCTTCCCCTGGAAGGGACGAAGTTGGTGAGGAGTTCGATGGACCATTGGCTATTGAGGGCGTTACTGAGGACGTCAGTACAACTTGATCGGATCAGATTCGGGGACTTATTGATGAGGAGTCAGATGAGGATGGCTCGAACTACAGCTCTAATGGGTCAAAGTAGTAGGGAGCTCCTTCTTTCCACTCTCTTGTTTGATTTCTTATATGTGCATCAAGGATACTACATCTTTTAAGTGTGTGGTGGCGGACTCTCGTCGGATAGTAATAATAGTATAGTAGTATCAACATTAGCTTCTTGTTTATGATTATGTAGCTAGGTTTTGACGTTATCTTGCTTTGATAATTAATAGTATACTAGTATAGACTTGTCATAGAGTTTTAGTAGCTTAATGAGAAAAAATTTGAAGAAGAAAAAGAGGGAAATAAGACAAAAAAAAATCAAAAACCCATTACAAAAATGTGGACTTTTTCCGACGATAGATCTCTTGGACAACTTTCTTGTGGGATTAAGGTCCATAAAAAACTCAAAATTATATTTTTATTTTTAGTTAGTGGTAGTATGTAATAACCCCCTTTGGGTTTTCTTTGGGCACATGTTCTTTTTTAAGGGATGTATCTTGAACCGAATATTTTTATTTTTAGGAAATAAAAGGAAGAAGACTTGATTGCTCCTAGGTACCTTTTGACCTGTTTGATGCTAGCATAGTTAGGCCTTAGCATGTGAGTTACCTTTCCGATATGTTTTGATGAAAATTGATCCTTATATAAATTGAAAAGCATGTTTGTGACGCTTTCTCTCAGTTTTTTGACTCGTTGTTCATTTAGTGCTTTATTTCTTAATATTTCTTGACTATATAATTACTTGCTTTAACTTGAGAGTTGAAATGGTACCGTCTCGAATGGGTCATGCGCATTGTGGGACGTGAGGTCTAAATTTTATTCTGCACTATCCTGTTTTAGTCTAGAACTTACCCCATGTGTTAGTCGAAGCAAAATAATTACGTTTTGTGAGTCTAGGAGATGACATGGGTATTTCATTGAGTGTACATTGAGCTATTATGACACCATAAATAAATTTATCATATGTTAACCAAATTGAGCCTATAAACATTTTCTTTGGCACCGACATTACAAGCCGAATTCCATTTTATTCTTAACTAGATCTTGTTGAACCTTTACCTCTGAAAGCACTTAAGTCGCTAGAAGAGCAAGGTGAGAGTTGGGGGAAGATTTTAAGTGAAACCATGAAAGGCCAAAAGGTGCAAATATGCTTTGAAAGATCACTAGTCGGGCAAACCAATCTTATAGAGAGTGAAGAAAAAAAAAAGGAGAAAAACAAAGAACATACAAATAGAAAAGAAGAAAAAAAAACCAAAAAAATAAAAATAAAAAATACGCCTCCTATTTATCTTGATCCGGGCTAGTGAATGTATATGTGCTTAAAGAAAAAAGGCTGAATTGTATATGGTTTCTAGCATCGCATTCGAGTTGGTCATGAAGAGTATGTACTTGAAAGTCAAGTATAGCGTATTAAAATGCTTAAAAGGGTTAGTCACTATTCCAAATACATCCTGCCGGCCTCTTAACCTGCATTACAATTCATAAAGACCTAATTGATCCTAGATTTTACGAGCTTAAATTAATAGAGACATACAATACAGGCACGCCTATGCTACGACCTCGTGAAGCACATGAATTTCTTTGTGAGAGTGAGCGATTTATTTTCATTCTTGAATTATATTTGAACACTTAATTTGAATGTGTGGACTATATACTCTCTTATTCTATGGTATGGGCACATGACTAAATGACGGATAGGTGACGTTAATAAACTTATCTTGTCAATATGAGTGTGCAAGTCGAGAATGCTTACTGGCGACGAGTCAGTCTTTGAGGTTGGGTTGTTAAGGGCAGCTTGTTTGGGTATTTTAAATTGTTCACTTATATTTTAGCATGTGAATGTTAAAAAGTGTATGAATGTGTATGCAATGGTTTAATTATTTGTATCAACTGTGATCATAGGTATAGTATACTTACTATGTGCTCCTCCGTAGTATGATGTCTTGTGTTGTACTTTTGAGTTAGCAAGATCTTAGATTGCTCGAGGAGGAGCACGATCTTAAGTTTAAGGTGGTGATGTTTAGCTAAATATCTATATTTTTGCATACTAAGTGCCTTATATTTTGTCCCTATTCTTGTTAATTTTAATGTGTTATGGGATGACTCGAGCCTAATTTTAGTGTTTATATATGTAAGAGTCAATTGAAAGTGATTTGGAAAGAATGTACGCGATTTGAAGTCAAAAAGGAAGAATTCTGAGGAAGTATGAGTTTGGCGTCCAGAAGGGGACAAGGCCCCTCCCAAAACGCCAAAGGCAAAAGAGCATAAAGTGCAGGAAATTTGGGCATCTATGTTGGCGCTTGGGGCACCTCAAAACGGCAAAGGCAGCAACAAAAATTCTTCAGTGTCCAGCTTGGCGCCTCGCGCCAGCTGTGGCGCTCAACCGCGGGAACTCTCATATTTTGACTTGAAGAGGGTTATTCCGGTCCTACACCTCTCCACCATATATAAAATGGTTCTAAACTTATTGTTTGAGGGTTGGACGTTATTTGAAGATAAGAACACCATGTGTAGAAACTTTGAAGGTGAAAATCTTCGAGTTCTTCATTCCTTCATCTTTTCTTTATGATTTATTTATGCAAAATACTTATGCGATTGTTACTACAATGATAAGTAGATAATTACTCTATTTTCTAGAATTGTGGTTGACATGAATATTAAAGTTTGTTGATTATATTCCTAGTTAATACGAGTTATCATCTTTGGTTATTTCTCTAATTATGTGCATAATTGCTTAATTGTTTGGCCAGCAGTCAAGTTATATTTACTATCTATGCTATGCTTGAAAAAGTCATGTCTAGATTAGAGTATAATTAGAGAGAGCTTGTTTTTGACCTCGTAGCTTGGGGACGGATTTCGCGGCTAGGATAAGAATATGCCTAACAGTTTTTCTTAGTTGAATGTCGTATTTTATTCGTTCATATGATAGATTCAATACCATAGGAATATAAGATTGAAATGTTATGTATAGATGGATAGAACTGTGGGAACATGCTATTTATATAAACAATCTGGTCAACTAGAAACCATAGATAGTTCAGATTAACAAGTATAATTACAAGCTCAATAGGATTGATAAACGTACCACAACCCTTGAACAACAAATTCTTGCGCTCTTATTTGTTAGTTAATTACTTGTTTTGTCTTTTTTTTTTTTTGCAATAGTGGTCTTGTAAAAAAACCACTACTTTTGATTATATTGGACAGTTAATCAAAATTATCTAGCTTAGATAACAATTATTCTAAGTCTTTGTAGGTTCGATATTCAACTTTTGAATTACTTTATTACTTGACGATCACGGGCCACGTTTACTTGTGTGTACTTGGGGAACCAACAGGTGACAGAAGATAATATTAGTAATGTGTGTAACAGTGTCCAACTAACACCAATTATCGTTGTTTTCAAACTAAAGGGCAACATAGTGCATCACAAGAAACTTGTAAAAAGTTGAAGCTCTATCACCAACAGTTCTCACAGAGACAATATCCAACTTCAACTTAATAATTTTAATAAATTTGTTATATTAAGCTATAATTGGGAGCTTTGGTGAAAAGTCTAAATCCTTTGATTAGCTCTATGGCATCATTAATATTATTGAATTTAAAAAATATTGGAATAATGTGCACATTTTGATGGGTGTAGCTACCATCTTTTTTCTGAGGTATAAGATGAAGTTGGTTGTTGTAATGACCCAACTGGTCGTTTTGAGCATTTGCATTCCGTTCAGTTGATTGAAGAATTAAGTAGCTTCATATGATGTATTATGACTTGTGTGAATTGTCGGTTTTGGTTTTTAGGTGATTCGGGATTGATTTGGAAGAATGATTCTCAATTAGGAAGTTTTGAGTTGAAAAAGTTGACAAAGTTTGACATTTGTATATTTGACCCCGGATTGGAGTTTTGATGATTCTGTTAGGTCCGGGTAGTAATTTTGGACTTGGGTGTATGCCCAACTTTGCATTTGGATGTTTCTTGAAGGTTTTGGCGTTAATTGGCGAAAGTTGGAAACTTGAAGGTTTGAAAAGTTTATAGGTTTGACAGAGAGTTGACTTTGATGATATCGGATTCGGATTGTGGTTTCGGGAATTAGAATAAATTCGTTATGTCATTTTGGGACTTGCATGCAATATTTGAGGTCATTCCGGGTTGATTTGATATTATTCGATATGAGTTTTGGAAGTTGAAAGTTCAAAAGTTCATAAAGTTTTATTTGAGGTGAGATTCGTGATTTTGATATTGTTATGTGTGACTTAAAGCCTCGAGTAGGTCTATGTTAAGTTTTAGAACTTGTTGGTGTGTTCGGACGGGGTTCCGAGGGGCTCGGGCATATTTTGGATGTGTTGCGGACCATGTTTTGGATTTATTACATTGCTGAAGATTCAGGTCCCTGGTGTTACTGCACCTGCGGTGGGTTGGCCGCAGGTGCGGCCACTTTTGGTGTAGATGCGTTGTATGGTGAAGCTTGGCTGCGAGCGTAGGTGCGGTGTTATTTCCGCATCTGTGTGTTCGCAGATGTAGTCCTTAGGGCGTAGAAGCAAGACGGTTGGGAATTAAGCCTTCCGCGTTTGCGATGTTATTTTCGCAGATGCGGCTCTGCAAGAGTGTGTGTATCTCCATAGGTGCGGAACTCTAGGCTGAGAGGGTGACTCGCAGGTGCAAGATTTTACCGCAGAAGCGGCAGTCACAAATGAGACTTTATGGCCGCAAAAGTGGATTCACTGGTCGTTCTATTAATTCGAAGAGTTAGTTCATTTTATCATATATTAGGCTATAGAGCTCGGATTTGGGCGATTTTGGAGGCGATTTTCACCGCATGGATTGGGGGTAAGTGTTTTCTACTCAGTTTTGATTATATTTCATGAATCTATCTTCGATTTTTGTATTTGGATTATGAATTTCAAAGAGAAAGTAAAATGTTTTGTCTAAACTTTTCTAAAGTATATTTTTGAGTTTTGAACATCGATTCAGAGTCGGATTTGAGTGAAATTAGTATGGTTGGACTCATAATTGAATGGGTTGTCGGATTTTATGAGTTTTGTCAGGTTCCGAGGTGTGATCCTGGGTTTGACTTTTTTGTTGACTTTGAGTAATTGATAAGATTCAACCTTTATCGACTAGGTTTGTTTCATTGGGCATTATTTGATTTTTTTGAATTACTTTTGGCTAGTTTTGAGTTGTTTGGAGGTCGAATTATGTGGGATGGAGCTTATAGAGTATTGTTTGGCTCGCTTGAGGTAAGTATTTTATCTAAACGTGGTTGAGGCACTAGTTGCCAGAATTATTTGTGATAGCTACGTGCTATGGGTGCGCACATGTGTGGGGTTTGAGCCCATGTTCTAGCATTGGGGGTGTTTATCCATGCTCGGGTTGTGCTTAGGCTATGATAAGCCTAAAATTGATTCTTAAGATTTAAGCTATGTTGTTTCTCATATTTATAACATTGTTGTGAACTATTTGAGCCATATTTGAGGCCTCATAGAGGTTTAATCCCTTAATGAACTTGATAAATGCTATTATATGATGAAATTACTGATTAGAGCCATGATAACATACTTTGCACATGCCTACACTTTAGTGTGTCATTTATACCAGTCCACGAGCATGATTTTTGTTATTCATTAATCACATACTTGTATTCTTATTTATTTACTCATGATGGTGTACATACGGATTGTGAGAAACCGATGGGTTTCTGGTTGATGTGAGTTCTGGGAGAGCTGGTTACTGTTATTGCACCGGGTTGCATGCTGCAACAGGCCTTATTGGCTTATTTTTCTTTGGATCAAATTGCGCACTGCAACAGACTGATATGTGATTATTGTATTTCATCTT